AAAAGGAGTAGACTAAAGAGGAAGAGTACGTAAAGAGGCATAATAGAGGAGGCTTGTCCTTTATCTTTGCACTGCAAGTCTGCTTGACTGTTCTCTCACTAGTAAAGCGTTCAGTTTTTCCACTTACAAAGTCCATTATGTAAATAGCAAATGCACCATGGCATAACGCAACTTACTCTTAAAAGGAATGTGAGATGAGACGCTAATTGGTTTAATGCACGTTATGCTCAAAACACACCCATGACTCATTAAGAGAATAAGCACAACCCTGTTAGACCATGCGCCGCGGCGCGAACTGTATTTTTTCTGTCCTTAATATAGCAAAATTGGAATTCAAACATGCCCTAAATGCTTTTGCACCATGCAATTTAGACTTTTCACATTGGTCGTTAAAATAGAGCCCAATAATTCTGACATGTAATATTGTGCAGTTTACATAGTAAGTGCAGTTAAGCACATGTGTGTGGAAGTATTTGTTATGAATAACTTTACAAATATATATATTTTTTGATTCACTTTACAGTTTAAGTACAGTAAACAGTGTGTTACTTGGCTAAGATAGACATGTTTGGTCAAGGGTTAGAATTTAATTACTTTAAAGCTTGCTGTCTCTATAAGTTTAGCATCTCATATATACAGTTAAAAGCAGAAGTGTACGTATACTCTATTGACCTTTTTCTTCCATGTGATTGTTTTAGAACTTCCGATTCAGCTGTCTGAATGACTAGGAGTAGTAAACCACAGAAAATGGTCAAACTACTTGTTCTACAAACAAGTGTTTGGATGATTATACAGACAAAGCAGAATAATATAATAAGAACCTATCAGTTTGTAACATCAAGCAGCAGAACGAGCTGTTTTTAATGTCTAAAAATGAATGTAAGTGAATGAGACCAGAAGTCTCAAGCCAAAAAGATTCAATGCGAAGAATAAAGTGAATAAAAAGGCACATAACCTTTTTTTTAATGTTTGATGTTGCCAGGCAGTGGTGCAGTAGGTAGTGCTTTTGCCTCACAGCAAGAAGGTCGCTGGTTCAAACCTCGGCTCAGTTGGCGTTTCTGTGTGGATGTTTCCCAAAGATGGGTTGTGGCTGGAAGGGCATCCGCTGCGTAAAAACTTGCTGGATAAGTTGGCGGTTCATTCTGCTGTGGCGACCCCGGATTAATAAAGGGACTAAGCCGACAAGACAATAAATGAATGAATGAATGTCTGATGTTAAATCATGTTAACATTTTCTCCTTTAGGTCAGTTAGGATTACTAAAATGATTTATATAATGAGGGAATTGTTTTATTGAGTGTTTTTTTACTTTCTTGACAGTCAAAAGTTGACAAATATTTCCTTAGTACTTTGTAGCATTGCCTTTAAATTGTATAACTTGGGTCTAACATTTTGAGTGAGCCTCTCACAATTGTTAGCTGGAATTTTGACTCATTCCTCCAGACAGAACTGGTGTAACTGAGTCAGATTTGTAGACTGTCTTGCTTGCGCACAGTTTTTCAGCATTACCCACATATTTTCTATACAGGATTGAGTTCAGGGCTTTGTGATGACCACTCCAAAACATTCACTTTGTTGTTCTTAGGGTCATTTTTTTTATTTGAAAATCCATTTGCGACCAAGCTTAAATCATCTGGCTGATGTCTTGAGATGTTGCTTCAATATTTCTGCATAATTTTCTTTAACATCTGGCATAAAAAAAAAAAATTTTAAAAAAATTAAAATGGTTTTTGCCTTTTAATACAGTGTACACTTCAGGTTTCAACTGTGTACTTAATATGTCTTTCAAAACTTGCAAATAAAAGTGATTAATGATAAAACACCAGACTGTAATATGTAACATTCAAGAACTAGACTAGCATTTTAATGCATCATATGCAAATCAGACTATTTTTCTTTAGCTTAATCAGCTGTACCTGCACCTAGCGATAATTACACAGAATTGAAAGCGATATTTTACTTTAAATTTTGTTAACCGCTGAACTCCACAAAACATATGAAGCACTTTTTTTTTTCTCAGCATAAGCCTTATCTAGTCCTACAATAGGACAAACTTTGTGAACTTGCACCTGTACTTCTGGATGTGAAATGGTAGATATTTATATCTTGCCGCTGTATTGTATGGAAAATGGCTATTGTTCTCATTTATGTGCAGTCTCATATCTCAGAAGGGTTCATTCAAAAAGAGAAGAGTAGCACAATTTTAGAGAAAACAAATCAAGTTCATTTATATATGACTTTTTTTTTCATAAAAACCAGCCTCATTATTTTAATGTGCTGTGAATGTTGTTTTCAAGATTCTTCAAAACATCATTGCTTGTATGACCTGTTATGCTGAGTAAATGTGTTTTGTATTGTGACTTGGGTCAATCTCACAATACATTTTAAGAACTAGGTCATATCATGATATGAGTTATTTAACTGAAAACAAATTATTAAATGTTATAAGTTCAAAGTATACCTAAACCCTAAATGGATTCAAATGATTTGTTTTTAAAATCTTTTATATATATATAATTATAATTATTAGTCTTATATCTGGATAATTTTATCCACATTTAAAGGTCAATATATCAGTATATTTCAGTTTTAATTTATTAATATATCAAATGACTATATTTATTATTCCAAATTTATTTATTTAGCTTCTGTAGAGGAAAAAAAGGCATAAAATAAATGTTAAAAATAATATCCCAATTGTCCTAAATACAATATGCTTTAGGTTCTTTATTTAAAATCACACTCCATAATTGATTATTTAAATTCATCTGGCTGCCTTTACTTTTGTAAATAGCTTAATCTTAATGCTAAATGCTAAATTTACTCCCTTGTGATTTAGTTGCACAATTATAGATCCATTTTTGGGTTTAGTTTTGTTTTGTGAGATTCACCCAACAACTGAATTATTCACTGTTGATTAACAGTTCAGTCATGGTTAATCACTAGTGCCTCTTTTTGAATGTTTCATTTGTTGTTTTATTAAAGTGTATCTGTCAATCTGTCTTTGTTTAAAAAAAAACACTTCTTTTTGGAGTCACAAATCATCAGAATGATCAAAGAAATGCCAGATCAAGAGCAAAGACATACAGACAGATGCTATTTTTCTGTGCATTCATTTAGTTTCTTTTCTCTGCATGCTCATGTGTTGTTCATTTATCAGTTTGCTCTGCAGAGGTGTGTGTTTTAAGGCCAGACACTACAGGTGAATTATGTTCTAGTAATAATAACAGCATACTACTTACGCTGTTGATTGCATACTTTTTTTGTATTACAAGTTTTCAAAAATGCTGTTTAATTTAAGTATGCAATTAAGGGATGATTTTACAAACAAAACAAAAAAATCACTAATTTGACTTTAACCTTCTATATCTAGCAAAATAAATAAATGAATAAATAAATTAATTATAAATAAATAAATAAGTAAATAAATAAGTAAAAAAAAAAAATAATAAATAAATAAATAAATAGTCCTAAACATTTTAAATTGAGTAACCTATTTAAATTAGTTTTTTTTTTTACAGGTGATTATGAGAATCTTTAGATCTCTGTAATTCCGAAAATAAATCTAAAATTAAATGCAATTGAGGTAACACTTAAGCATAATGGTCTGTTAGTTAATGTACAGTATTTACTAACATCAAACTAAGGATGAATAATCTTGTAAAGCATATTTTAATCAAGATTCAACATTAAATAATGAATTATTCATATCCAAAATTGTGCTTGTTAACATAGCAGTGTAGTAGTGCACAATCTTTTAACAAGAGCTAAAATAAACGGTATTTAACTTAAATAGCTTTAACTACTGTTAACAAAGAGCATGTAACATATATAAAAATCAGGTAACATGGCATAACAAATCTATCACTAATTGTTTGTTCATGTTAGTAAACTGTTCATTCAAGTTAACTATTGGACTATTATTTTAAAGTGTTTAATACAGTCAATAATTGTGTTGTTTCAGCTTCAACACAATTCAAAAAAGTAGTTTGAACAAACGGCAAATGCCATTTCTGGAGTGTAGTTAGTTAGTTAGTTAGTTGGTAAATGAGTTAGTTAGTTAGTTAGTTAGTTAGTTAGTTAGTTAGTTAGTTAGTTAGTTAGTTAGTTAATTTGGTTAGTTAGTTAGTTAATTTGGTTAGTTAGTTGGTAAATTAGTTAGTTAGTTAGTTAGTTAGTTAGTTAGTTAGTTAGTTAGTTAGTTAGTTAGTTAGTTAGTTAGTCAGTCAGCCTGTCTGTCAGTCAGTCAGTCAGTCAGTCAGTCAGTCAGTCAGTCAGTCAGTTAGTTAGTTAGTTAGTTGGTAAATTTGTTAGTTAGCTAATAAAGTAGTTTGTAAAGTAGTTAGTTAATTGGTAACTTATTTAGTCGGTTAGTTAGTTAGTTATTGAATTGCTTAGTTAATTAGTAAATTTGTAGTTAGTTAGTTAGTTTAAAAAGTAGTTAGTAAAGTAGTAAGTTATTAGTAAGTAGTTAGATAGTTAGTTAGTTAGTTAGTTAGTTAGTTAGTTAGTTAGTTAGTTAGTTAGTTAGTTAGTTAGTTAGTTAGTTAGTTAGTTAGTTAGTTAGTAGAATAAAATGTTAAAAAATAATCTTAAATATAATCAGGTAAATTATGTGCAAGCAAACCCTTCTAGTAAAACTTTCAGAGTAGAGATATGAATAGTACTGTGAAATATGATCCACGAAACAGATGTGTGGCTGTGTGCAGGATGAAAAAAATAAAATAAAATGTTTAATTAACAGCCTTTAAAAATATGTTTTATAATTGCAATCTACAGACATAAATTGCAAAAAGTGCAACAAATGAAATACTTAAGTGTATTTTTGAAGTTTTCTTTACATTAAACTAAAGTAAAATAAACAACCTGACGTTATATACAGTTAGGACAAGCACACAAGCCCAAATTTAAAATCTGGCAGCTGAATGATAAAGCTGTAATTGCCTGTAGAGTCTGGCCTTAAGTTGTCCCCTGTGTGTTGTTTGTGTTTGTGGTCTACAGGTCCTCCTCTGCATTGCTCATCTGCCTCCTCTTCCCCTGTCGACTCCCCTTACCCTCCCCCTTCCCACGCAGCCAATCAGAGCCAGGGAAGGTTGCTAGGTAACAGCGGGGCTCAGGCCGGCCGGGACTCTGAGTCGGAAGATGAGTTTGGCCCCAATTCATTCTTAGTTAAAACCGGCTCAGGGAACGTCTGCGCTCCGGCCGCCGCTACTGCTAATGGTGAGTCCCTCTCAATATCACTGTCTGCTAGAGACGCCCCACATCCCATGCTCTGGTGCAGCCTCAGGCCCCACGTTCATTTTTTGGGGGGGATATTTTAGACAGGAGTTGAGGTCAAATGTTCACAAGAACTTTTTTTTTTAACTAATACCTGCTGAGAAGTGAAGCTCTTGGCTGGGATTCAGGGATGTGTGACAGATGCTGGAGTTTTATTTATTTATTTATTTTAATATATGATCAAGTACAGGTAAAAGTTATAACTTATAACTGCATATTTCTGTTTACTTTTATTTTGTTATATAGGATGGAATTATAGGTGAATTAAGGAGACTGCTAAGTGGTTTAATGTTCAAAAGAGAAGCAATATGCACCTTAAAAGTCGAAATGTACAAATGTACCTTAAGCATAACATACTGTCACAATAAAAAAAAAATTAAAAGAAAGTTTGTTTTTGCCCTGATAAATTGATTTGGTTATATTTTATCTAAGTTATAATCTTTATATAAATTTTATATACATTCTACAGTATATTTAAAATCTGTTTTACTTGAACTTAATTAAATGAATGACACATACCATTGTATTACGGTCACATTTGATATATACCTTAATACAGTGCTCAGCATATCTAAGTACACCCCTCAAAAATCTCTCATTAAAGGTAATATTTTCTCAAGGATGCTTTACAATATTGTTTTTGTGCATATGCATTAGTTTAGTACTGGAGCCAAATCTGGAGCTAATCTAACACAGTAACTAACAATAATGGTTCAAAAATAGGTAGCCCAAATTTACGTAAGGTAAAACTATTAAATACATTTTTCAAAAATAGCACAAATCAAGAGAAGCATTATATTTGCAATATTTTTGCAATATTTTGCATGAACCTAAATATATATTTCCATTAACAAAGACTTTTTGTGACAAAAATATTATTTTAATAAATATTTTTGTTTAATAAATCTGTTTTGTTCAAATGCACCAATATATATTACCCATATTCACTAAGAAAAGGATAAAAGTATTCATTTTTAAAATAATAAAATGTACTCATTTATGCTGAGCACTGTATTTTTGTATGTATTCATGTATATATTTAAGTTAGTCAATTTATGCTGAATACACACTAAAAGGGACTGCTATTATTTCAGGTTTTTAATTATAAAAAAAATTATGGACAACTTCAAATATAGAAGATTATGAATACATACAATTGACCCTTCTCTAAGCTCCACCCTACTAAGTTACTGTTGCTACGCCTGTCAAGCTTTCATGCCTGGCACATCTATTACAACATGTATGCGCCGATGTCAGACATTCCCAGGTATATAATTAGCCATTTTTGGGGAGCAGGTGAGATATCCAAGAAAGCCTGACAATAAAAGGACTGTTGTATGCATTACAGGGGTGTATTCACAACATAATAGGCAACTGATTAGAAAATGAGCTAGGTTAAGCTATGTTAGCCTAGCCGCCTCATACGCTGACCATTTAACGTTAGTTCATGCACAGCAGGAGAGGTGAAATTTAAAAATAATCAAATAATTACGAATAAAACCGTGATTTTTCATTTTTAAGCCATAATATAGCGTTGTTAACCAACGAGGAAAATACCCATGTACAGTGCTTCTGCATAATTCATTCATAGAGCAGCCAGACATCAGGGAAACTGATGGATTTGTGTCAAATATTAGCATCATTGACCCCTAACAATGTACAGTACCTATAACTGTCAGTATGTTTATGTGCTTTTTATACAGTTTTTATTCTTATTTGCAGTTAAGAGGAAAAATACATTAATTGAAATGCATGTTAAAGTATAAATAGCAGAAGTGGACAGATTTTCCCTACTTTCAAATATTAATCCTACACCAAATATAAAAGTAGACACTAACCTGCTAAAACGTCATCACCAATGGCTAAATCTCTAAAAGACTGACCAAAACACCTGTAAATTGTAGCTCTGGCATGAACATTAGGGATATAAATTACTGAAAAACAGCTGCGGGTAAAATTTATTGATCGCAAGTGCTCAGATTGTTATCACATCTCCGTTTGGTTCTGTTAATATGTAATTTCAAATATCCGTAGCTTGAAACAGATGGAGATATGATTGCTATTACTATAACTACAAAACTAAACCAACTTAACTCAGCTCTTTTAGTGCCCCTCATTGATCCACACTGGCATTTCTCATCTTGGGTTTTAGGTTTTGGAAAGGGAAAAAAATTCCACCACCCCGTCCAAACTTTTAGAATACTGGTGTCAGATTTGCACAATACATATTCACAATGCTTTGGCTTGTATGCCTCGCTCGAAAGCTTGACAGGCCTACTGCGCGTAGCTACGGTTGCTAAGCCACGATTGGTGTATGGCGGTTTTCGGGTGTGGCTTAGCTAAGGTTTAACTGAATTATCTTAATGGATGGATAATCAAATCATTAAGTTTAATTCAACTGGTTGATGCATTGTGTTAATATTGTAGTAAATTGAAATTAATTCTAAAGTTTGATTACAACTTGATTCACAAAATGTGGTTACAAAGATTGTGTTACTCATAACTATTCTCAAATTATCCCCAAGACACATTATAGACACACAATCTATTGCTTTTATTTTTGTTAAAATAAGTATAATTGAGTGTAAGTAGAATTGAATCACTTTTTTTAATGAATATAATATTATGTATTGGCTCTTATCGCAAGCAGTAGATGATCAGATTACATTACTGATGCATCGGATTTTATTAGTAAGACAATTCAAATAGATTAATTAGTTTATAAATGTGAAGATTAGACAACTTTTTTAAAAGTTTTATTTTTCAAATGGTTCTTTGCATTCTGAAAGCCCATTCAACGTAGTTCACATTGTTTGCTCAGTCCGTGAATGTAGACTTCAGCAGTGCTTCTGTCATGACTAATTTCACCCTGTGCCATGACTCTTAAAGTGGTTCTCAGCATACGTCAAAGTGTGGACGACCTGCATTGCAGTTCTCTTATGCAGTTTAGCATTGTGAAGCGGATTTTATTTCGCCTTCCCAGGGTGTCATTTTTTTGTAATGTTTTGATTACAGCCATGTTAGGCCATCACGCACTTTACTTCATTAAATGTGCACAGAGATAGAACGTTAAAGAGGTTTTAATGAAAGACAAAATCAATTGAAAGCCTGTAAATCCTTAAAAACAAACAATAAAACAAAAACTTAATGGCATACCCTGCTGAGGGACAACCGACCAGCTCTGCAGGAACTTTAACCACATTGAATCAGTTTTACAAGTCTTTACCAATGAACCACTGATAAAAAGTGCATGGAAAATTAGTTTATCACATTATACATCGATTATTGTTAACTATGATTAATACTTCTTTTTTTTTATCACTGCATTACTTGTTCAGGGATGTTATGACACATCTTCTATAAGTAATAAGTAACACGGAGGTAATAATTGTATTAATACCTCCCAGAACTGTCTTGAGTGACTGTGCTGAGAAAGAGTGGTCTTGCTCTTCCAAAAGCATGTTTTGTGAGACACAAGTAATTTGTCATATAAGGAAAAAGACCCACACGTGCTTCTACTTAGCAAATTTCATTTTTATTTTTGATATTTGGTGCCATTTTATCAGGAAATGGTGATTTTTCTCTTGTTGACACATTGAATTGAAATGATGGTTTATTTGCACATGTTTATGTTGTCTAATTAGGTCTAATTGGATGGAAACATACTGTAGCTATTGAAAACTAGTTGACGAAACCTAGGGTTACTCATTATACTTCTGAATACCAAAGACAATGTCAATCGAAAGCCTGTAAATGATACACAATCTTAATGGCATACCCTGCTGAAGGACAACTGACCTGCTCTGCAGGAGCTTTGACCACAGTGAATCTTTTTTACAAGTCTTCACTAATGATTGACTTATGAATGATGCATGGAAATATTAGTTTATTACATTATAAGGCTGATTATTGCCAAATATGATTAATATTTCATTTTAGACACTATATTACTTGTTCAGGGATGTTACTTGAGGCAAATCTTCCATAAATAAAAAGCAACACGGTGGTAATAACGGTTTTATTACTTCACAGAACTGTGCTACAAAAATTACTCTTACTCTTCCAAGATCCATGTCTTCTGAGGCACAAGTAATATATAAGAAAAAGGCCCATAGGTGCTTCTACTTGGCAAATGTAATTTTTATTTTTGATATTTGGTGCCATTTTATCAGGAAAATTTTGATTTTCTCCTGTTGACACTCTGGATTGAAACGGTGCTTTATTTGCAAATGTTTTATGTGGTATTCCAGATCTAATTTGAATATTTGAATGAAAACATAGCTATCGATAAACTAGTTGACCTAACCTAGGGTTTCTGAACTCACTGTACTTCTGAATGGCAAATATAAGTCAATTGATGTCTGTGTTTGTCCAGCAACAGGTAACCAAGTTCCAAATAAGATGTGTCAACATGCTCTCCAGGTTAAGAAAGCATTCACCTCGCTTTGATAATTGGAGGGGAGTAGAGAAAGCATGCCGATACTGAGCAGTCGATATGACGCCTGTCATCACTAGCAGCTCTTGGCTTTTCCCTCAAGGCTTCTTTACAGAGTAGAACAAAAAAAATGCTGTAAATAATTGATCAGTCTTTACAAGTTAACCACCCAAGGCTGGAATTACATCAAGCTCAGGAGGATTGCGCCTGCCTCTCCTCCACTCGGCCTTCTGTAATGCTATGAATTAACCTCCTGTGGCAAGAACTTTCTCTACTCCGTGTGGCATCCAGCTAGTGTTCCGGTCACCTAGCGGTGGCACCCCAGTGCTAAAATGGGATTTATCTTTCCGACAAATGGCTGTGATTTGCATTGGTATATAGGTTACCCTCAGGCTGCCAGTGAGGGGTAGCACACTCACCAAAGGAATCGGTCTCTTGCCTCCGAGCTATGCAAGGCACCATAAGGCTCTATTTGACTGAAACAAAGAAGCACACCACAGTGCCGTGG